GTAGTACCGCGTCATTCCTCTCACTCGTTGAATATTATCCAATATTTTTGCTGTGGGTAGAGATATTGCTTAATTATTGTGATCAATATTTAAATTAACATCTCTAATATTAATTTCTTAAGTTACTTTTTAAAAAATGTCATTATTTTGCGTTAAAAAAATTTAAATTGAGACATAAGCAGAGATTCACAACCTAAAGCGTCATTCCTCTCACCCCTAATAAAAACAATATTAATATATATAAATTGATCGCAAATTTTTTTCACATAAAGTTATCCTTTATAAACATGATAGGGCATTCTAAGCTGGAGGAAAATTATTTGTCAATTAAATAAAATTAAAAAATGTTGAAATCGTCATTCCTCTCACCCGTCATTCCTCTCACTTTTTTGAATAAAAATTAAAAATTGATATGATTGTCGGTTGTTTACAAACTGCCAGTGAAAAGTGAACCTAAAATGTATGAAAAATAATTTTTGACAATTGTTTAAAGAGATTTTTGATAACTGTAAGTATTTCAAAATCTATAAAATTTATAGATAATATTAATAAATTATAATTTTTAAATAATTTTTTGTAAATAGAAAAATATATATAATAAAAAACGCCGGCGCCAAATTTTAACCTCTTAATTTTTTTGTAAATTTTAATTTAAAATATATACTTTAAAAGCTAAAAGTTAGCATGATCATGCTATAGAGGTGGTAGATTTTTGAAAGCTCAATATAATTGACTGCATTAATCCATAAATAATAATTTTTTTTCTTTTCTGTTTGTAACTCACAAAAAGGAGTATTTCGGGAGAATCACCCAAATATTTTTTATATTTATTGTAATATAAGAGGCATTCCATTTTAAATAGTTCCACCGACAAAAAACAATCGCAAGGAGAGCGATTTTCTAATAAAATTAATTATTTAAAAATTTAATTATTTCTAACATATTATACACTAAATTGAAAGAGAATTTCATGAACTTTCTAGTGCTATTTTTATTTTTTTAAATTTCTCTCAATTTCGTAGAGAAATTCCTGTTTGAAAGTTTAAACTCTTAATATCTCAAAACACCCCCCCGTCGATTTTTATGAAAATTATATGAAAATAAAGCTTAACTTTTCTAGTTTCTATTCCCGTATAATATATTATGGACATTTAATGGGATTAGTAAAAAAAAATTGTTTAAAAAATGTGTTTTTGAAAAATTTGACAAGTGTCACGAAGTTGAATCCTAACTAACCTTCAACTTCGTACCATTTGTCAAATTTTTCAAAAACACATTTTTTTAACAATTTTTTTTCTACTAATCCCATTAAATGTCCATAATATATTATATGGGAATAGAAACTAGAAACGTTAAGCTTTATTTTCATATAATTTTCATAAAAATCGACGGGGGGGTGTGTTTTGAGATATTAAGAGTCTAAACTTTTAAACAGGAATTTCTCTACGAAATTGAGAGAAATTTTAAAAAATAAAAATAGCACTGGAAAGTTCATGAAATTCTCTTTCGATTCAGTGTATAATATGATAGAAATAATTAAATTTTTAAATAATTAATTTTATTAGAAAATCGCTCTCCTTGCGATTGTTTTTTGTCGGTGGAACGATTTGAAATGGAATGCCTCATAAGCATCTAAAGTATATGAAGTCGTAAAAACTGACACTTTTTCATCTAATAGAAAATATTAAAGAAAACACATAATTTACTATAAAAACGTAAAAAAATTATTAGAATTTATTATGAATGGATTATTTTATTATTATAAATTGATAGAAACAATTATTATTAACAAATATTAAATAAAAAGTTATTTTAAAGTTCACCTGGCAAATAACCTATTTTTTAAAATTTCATTCGCGAAATGTGAGAAAGAGAAATCATTAAATTGAATAAAACCTTATGAAATATAAAGAAACTTTTAATAACTTTTAGTTTTTCTTATCACTTTCTTCCTTTTTTTCTTCACAAATGTTAAAAAATAAGCAATTAAAACTGGCACTTTGCTTATTTTCACGATTTTAAAATGTAAATAACTTCTGACCAGAAAAATGAAAAATTACGAAAATTGGGCAATAATAATAAGATGCTCATTTTACAATAAATATAAAAAATATTTAAAAATTCTTTTTGTTCGATGATCCAAATATCTTTAAAATCATTCCTGCAAAATATTATAATTTTTTAAAATCAGTCGGCAACGACTTTAGTCGAAATATAATAGAATGGCTCATATGCATATTATATAAATTAATAAAATATAAATTTTATATTAAATTTTAAATTATAAATTATTAAATAATAATTCAATTTTAAAAATTTTTCATAAATTTTATTGATTTAATGTAATATAAGATTATTTGAGGGGCTTATATAAAGTGGTTTAAAAAAACATTGGGAGAAAAAGTGAGATAAGTGACTTGGTAGTAAAAATGGTTTAAAACAATTAAAATATTTATCGATAAGTTTATTACACGAATGACTTGCAAAATATTAATGTTTTTCTTTACTATTTTAAATATTTTTTGATCATTAATTATAATTAATTTTTCCATAAATTACAAATTCATTTTAGTCCGTATTTGCGCCCAAGTCACTTATCCCACTTTTGCTCCTAATTACCAGTTTTACTATCAACCCCGAAGTGCGACAAAGTGCGACACATGATTGTTATCTGGGTAGGGTCGCTGATTACGAACAGATGTAAGTTTTCATAAATTTAAAATGGCGGAATTTTCTTTTTAATTTATGCAATGGACTTTAATTTTGTTACTCGTGAGTTCTTATACCAGTCAGGTAGGTGTAAATGTCCTAGGAGCGCTCACTGACAATTGACTTCTGTTCTAGCACTTGCGCCGACTCACAACCAGCGAGCGTGTATAGAAATTTTTTTAAATTTCTCTTCCTCATATTATATTAGTCACTTTGAATTTTTGAAAACAAACATCGTATTCGTAATCATCGACCTTAAAAACCACCGAGTCACAAAATTAAGATCAATTGCATAAAGTAAAAATTTTATTCCATATTGGATCCGCCATTTTGACTTATTGGAAACTAAAATCGAATTCGTAATCAGCATAATCAAAATTTAAAAATTAAAAATGGCGGCTTCAAAATGGCGATCGACAAATTTCAAAGTTTACTGACTTTAAATTTTTTCGTTGGCCATTTTGGAACGGCTACACTGAACTCTTGCTGTAATGGACGTTGCTGTAATGGACTAGTTTGTAGATGAAGTGGTGAGCGGGGAAACGGGGTCGCTGAGCTCGGCGACTAGCGCCACCAACAAAGTATTATTTTTTAAATTTTGCGGGTGCACAGACTCCCCACTAAAATCTTATTTTCAATTTTTTATTATTTTATGAGCTGTTCAGTCATTTTAAAAAAAAATATTTTCCAAAATTATGTTTCCATTCCTTAATTACTTGCTTTTAGTCAAAAATTTGTGCATTTAAAGAAAATAAAAAAAAATTATTTAGAATCTATGTTTTAAATCTTTATACGGCCCTGAATGTTTTGATGACCTTGCTTCAAGGGTACTCTTGCTGTAATGGACCACAGCACATTCGATTCCATTACAGCAAGAGTTCAGTGTATTTTAAATTTTTAAATTTTGACTAAAGATTTGGATTTAGAAACCTCAAAATCCCCCGAACCAGCATTTTAAGCGACCCCAAAACTTTAGAATATTCATTGATATTCATATTTCATTTATTACCGAGATTTTCATTTTAGATGCCACTATAGCGGTCATACACACTGGTGGCACGAATTATTTTTGTCTCTATAAACGTCATACACTGGGAAGGGGATAAAGGGTAAAAAAATTATCAAACTTAAAAAAATGAATTTTTTTTGTGTTTTTGAAATTATAACCGCTATATTTAATTTTTGGGTTGAACGAAATTCTTTTTTACACAAGAATCAAAAAGAGGACACTCAATAAAATAAAATTTGATAAGAATTTTCTTTTTTCAGGCGTTAATGAGTTAATCATTAACATAATAAATGAACACTATAATTTGATTAAAATCTTTATTTTTTTAAAGTTATTATAATATTATATTAACACCATAGTCAGGGAAATGTCAGGAAAAAATTTTTTTCATGGAAATTAAGAAAATTGAGACAATACATAAAAAACCACAATTTTTACTAAAATCGTGCATGTTATTTTGATAATGCGAAAAGTAACTATAAACAAATCATTCAAAAATTGTTTTTGAATCATTTTTTAAGACATAATTTAATTTTTGAAATATATCTATAATAAAAATCTTTTTGAATAGTTGAAATTTTGTAAAATTTAATTGAAAAAAAATTAATTTATTTTAAGTATTTTGTTACAATTTTTAAAAATTGTTTAAATTAAATTTTAAAATGAATGAAAATTGGCTTCTAATTTTTTAAAATTCAATATTTTCAGTGTTTTCAAATACATATATTTCCAAAAATCTAAATACATACAAAAATAATATTTCAGAATAATTTTCAACATTTTGAAAAAAACATTTATATCCAAGATTTCTAAATGAAATTCATCAAAAAATTTATAAGTTTTTTAAAGTTATACAAAAGCTCTTTTAAATAATTCAATTATTTTTCAAAAATTACATTAAAATATTTTTAAAAAGTAATTAGTATAATTGTTTTATAATGATTATTTAGGATTCAATTATCTTCAAAAACAATTAAAATTTATAAAAATCTTTAAAAATAATAGAATTAGTAAAAAATATTAATAAAAATGAATCGTAATTTTGTGCTTTGAAATATGTTTAAAATGAGCTTTATTACTTTTTAAAATGCAGGAGTAATATTAAAAAAAATACTTACATACTTTTCAAATGTGCATTGTCCACGTGGATAAGTGTAAAGGGGAGAGGGTTTGCCAAATGTTCATGATTGTCCACAACCAGAGGCGGGGGGGATCAGAAATTGGTGAAAAATGTCCATTTAGTATATGGAATACCGATAAAATTTATACCCCTCACTCTTACCTCGTTTTCGATCTCCCGCTCTTGCACTCCTTAATCTATCTGTGAGTGAGAAAAGAAAAATAATTAGCCAATAAGAAAATAAGACGCCCTTTTCGTATTTTGGCTTGAAAGTGAAATTCCCCACTTTTCCTTTCCCTCCCAATTTCTGTTCCTCTCTTTCTACCTAACACGGAAAATGGAGAAAACATTATGCTCTTCTGTAAACCAAAGAAATAGGCGTTACTTTATTAACTATTCGCCTCTCTCTCGCTCCTACTCTAAACTGAAAGAAGAGACGATACTTCCCTCTCTTACTCTGTATCGTGCTTTCTCTCTCATACTCTGACAGACAGAATGAGTTTTGAAATACGAAGATTAATATAGTTAATTTGGTCTGCTTTTATGCAGACAGACTAGTGAGACTATCTTTTACAAATTTACATAATATAGATAGTAGAGGTGTGCAAAAAGCTCGAAACCCGAAGCTCGAGCGGGTATTTTCGAGCTTTTCATTTTTCGAGCCGAGCCGAGCCGAGCCTATTCAGTTCGAGCTCGGGCCGAGCCGAGCTTTATAAAAAGCTCGAATAATTTCGGGTACTCGAATTTTTCGGGTACCCGAAACTTTCGGGTACTCGAAATTTTCGAGTACTCGATTTGATTCGAGCCTTTGAGAAAATCCAAAATTTTCTACATTAATTTTTAATTAAATTTTTTTTTTTCAAAAAAAAAATTTTTTTAATTTAAAAGCTCGAATTAAATCGAGTACTCGAAAATTTCGGTTACCCGAATTCATTCGAGTACCCGAAATATTCGAGTACTCGAGTGAATTCGGGTACCCGATACATCGAGCCCGGCTCGGGCTCGGCTCGGCTCGACTCGAAAAAATTGCGGCCCGGCTCGGCTCGGCTTTTCGAGCTTTTTGCACACCTCTAATAGATAGCATATGTCTTAAAAAAAAAGTTATTACCGAATTTCAAAAATGTCCCGCGACTACCGACATTCAAAAACGTCGGTAGTGGCGAGACATTACTTTAAATCGCAAATTTTTCAATTACAATGTCTTTTACGGCTTTCAACTTCAAAGCATTTGGGTTCCTTTGTGTCCCTTTTAAATTGATTACGTTTTTTACATCTAAAAAAAGAGTTAAGATTATTATTTTTATTATTACGGATTATTTGAAAATACATACGCAACTTTAAGATTAGGTTATTGCTATGCAAAATATTGCCGACAAAACTTAAAAAAAATAATACCGAAGTCATTTAGAAATGTACTATTTTATTAGATTTAAACAAGCAGTGTCCGGACACTGCTGACAATAAGTGTCTCGCCATTGCCGAAACAGTGATTTACGGTAATAACGATCTACAATTGTGTCTATCGGACTATTATGCATAATGTTCTAGGAATTTTGAAGGAATCTTACATACTAATAACTTAAAATATTTACCGTTAACCAAATTTTGAAAAGTTTAATTTTATAAACACTTTTTCGTACGAAGAATAAAACTTTAAAACTTGCTTAAAACTATTGACAGCATTATAGTGACAAATTTTACATCCAGAAAGTGTGTATCATATAAAAAAGCTTCAACAGAATAAAACTTTACTTTTACACCAAAAAAGCAACACTGTCAACTCAGCTGTTTGAAATATCGCAGTGTCTCGCTATACCCGCTGTCTCGCCACTGCCGACAACGCCCTATACTAACTGTTGATTAATGAATTTTATATTTAACTAAATTAGTAGGTTAAATAATTTTTATTTAATAGAAGTACCAAGTAATCGAAACAAAACTTGTGCGAAATAATATTTAGTATAACCTATAAATATTTCAAATTTCAATTTACATAAATATTTTTAATCAAAATTTAAATGATTTTTACCCAGTAAAAAGAGGCATGTTTAAATTAGTGAAACTTTATTTGAGTGACGTTTTATTTTCAAGATATATTATTTAATATAATTTTTGAAAAGCAAAATTATTTTTGAACAGAAATGGTAAGTTTTTAATTTGCATATAAGTGAAATTGTATTTAATCGAATTTCTATTAGAGAGCAATTTTACATAATTGAAATATTATATTGTAGAATTTTTAAATTATAGAATTTTTAAATAGTCGAAGTTTTATTTTAACAAATTTTTATTTAATATAATTTTAAAGTAATCGAAAATATTAATTGTAGAATTTTTACTGTGACTAATTTCTATTTGATCGACATAAATTTGACAAATGAGTTTCCAATCTGTATTTCATTGGCATTGGCAGCAAGAGGCGCCATATGCAATTTCCATTCTGTGATGTACATTTTTGCGCGAAATTTAAATTAATGTGTGATGCAGAAAAAGTGGAATAAGGTAAGTGTGTCTTAAATAAAATTTTAACATTTCTTTTAAAAACATTATATTGTAATATTTTTTTAAACATCTAAAATTGTTAATAATTACGTTTTCTATTATTAATATTTATTGTAATATAAATGCATTGACATTATCTACAAGTTAAAAATTATTATAATTCCCCATAGATGTCGTTGTAATGTCTGATTGTGATTAAATTTTTTTATTTTTAAGATATATGCAGAACATTTTAAAAAAATGAAAAAATGAAAACTTACAAATTAACAAGGAAAGAAAAATAGAAAATCTACTTGCGAGTAAAATTCAGAAGTTTTACTACAACAAAGTTTTTAATGAGAAAGGAATATAAAAAATATGATATCAAACAAATTTTATACAATAATATTTTACCTTGAAAAAATTGTGTTTAATTTGTTGTTTATATCGAAATAACATTTTCCAATCAATTTTGTAATTACTTGACGTTTTCGAAAACAATATAAACGATAATTAAATTTTGTAACGATGTAAATCGTCACGTCATCTGTCGGAATTATCCCCGAACCGTGATCGTTAATTGGTATGGTAATTTAGAAAGTCGAAACTGCTGAGTGACCCACTATCAGTGGTGAATGTGTGTCGCGCGACTAGTTAGTAGGAGAGAAAGTGCTAGAGGGCAGAGCCGCTCATAGTTAGAGAGACCGAGAGAGAAGAGCCAGTTGTAACGAGAGAGAAGAAGAGTTGAAGAAGCCGAACACGTGTGGGAAAAGTCAAAAACAGGTGTCCGTAGTTTTTCGCCGACATATTGTAAGCAGTGACCTACGAGATTTGTAGGAGAGTCAATCTACGCGATGTGTATAGAGTGTTATAAGAGACGTGTATAGTGTGAAATAGTTTTGTAAAAATTTGTGTGTTTTCGAAGAACTAGAGTTGTGTGTAAAAGAGAATTAATAAAGTGTGAAAAGAAGCGAAGCAGTTTTCTTTGGATTATTCCCTTAGTTTTCCCTGAGGAAAATAGTTGCCGAGAAGCCAACAGAGAGGAGGGATTGAGTAGCGTCGGATTTTGCCTGACGTAAAGAAGAAACTTTGAACTACAATTAAAATAGTTTAAAATCATACGTCATAATTTTTATTTTCAATACGATTATTATAATCGTCATAAAATAGACAATCATACTTCACTTTTGCAATGGGTAAAATTTAATTTGTTTCATTTAAATTTAATTTAAAGAAACTATTTTTTTCTCCATATATTTTCATTTCGCTTATTATATATTGTTATTTATATCGAAATAACATTCACAAATCAATTCTTAAATTATTAAATGTTTTCGAAATCTATTTACACGATATTTACATTTTCAATCTTAATTTGATTAATTTTGTCGTCATATAATAAACAAACAAACATCATTCGTCGTCACAATTTGTAAAATTAAATTAGTGTCATTTAAATTTAATTTTTAAAAAACTCCCCTTGTCACCATATACATAAAAGTATTTTGAAGGCAAAAGTTGACTTGTTAAAATTAATTCTAATATTAATACAAATTAAAATTTATTTCAATTAATATTAGATTGTTTACTTTCATTTCGCATACTTTTAATTTATTATTTATATCGAAATAACATTTTCCAATCAATTTTCTAATTACTTGACGTTTTCGAAAATAATATAATCGATTATTAAATTTTTATTTTCAATATGATTATTATAATCGTCATATAATAAACAATCATACTTCTCCTTCGCAATGGGTAAAATTTAATTTGAAGAAACTCTTTTTTTCTATATATATTTTTATTTCGCATATTATATATTGTTATTTATATCGAAATAACATTCTCAAATCAATTCTTAAATTACTAAACGTTTTCGAAATCTATTTACACGATATTTCCTTTTTAATCTTAATTTGATTAATTTTGTCGTCATATAATAAACAAACAAACATCATTTGTCGTCAGAATTTGTAAAATTAAATTTGTGTCATTTAAATTTAATTTTTAAAAAACTTCCCTTGTCACCATATACATAAAAGTATTTTGAAGGCAAAAGATGACTTGTTAAAATTAATTCTAATATTAATACAAATTAAAATTTACTTTAATTAATATTAGATTGTTTACTTTCATTTCGCATACTTTTAATTTGTTATTTATATCGAAATAACATTTTCCAATCAATTTTCTAATTACTTGACGTTTTCGAAAACAATATAAACGATAATTAAATTTTTATTTTCAATATGATTATTATAATCGTCGTATAATAAGCAATTATACTTCTCCTTCGCAATAGGTAAAATTTAATTGGTTTCATTTAAATTTAATTTAAAAAAACTCTTTTTTTCTCCATATATTTTCATTTCCCATATTATATATTGTTATTTATATCGAAATAACATTCTCAAATCAATTCTTAAATTACTAAACGTTTTCGAAATCTATTTACACGAGATTTCAATTTCAATCAATTTCATTAGGTAAAGTTAGATTTTTTAAATTATCTTCTATTTTAAGTTCAACATTTAAAATCGAAAAACCCTCCAATCACATGCTTACAATTACATTCAATCACTATTTCTTTAAGTTTCATCCATGCATCTTCTGTAGACCTCTCTTTCATAAATCCATTTTGACACTCCTACCATTTTCCATTCATACAGTTCAACAATCTCGCGATCATCATTTTCACATGCACAACTTGTAAACTCGGTTCCAGGAATTTCTGGAACCTTCATTACGCACATACTTTTGCCAGTCATTCTCTTTTACATTCTTTATCATTCGTTTATATTCCTTAGCACACGTCTTCCTTTCAATCTATTTACTCTTGTCCAAATCACCCGTTTTTTTCCTTTCATTCTGATACTTTTTTCTTTTATAACGAACTTGTTTTCTCATCTGCTCTAGATATTCATTCCACCATAACACCTTATTACTTTTGCGCCGACAAACTCGCTTCATACATATATCATTTGCACTTTCAATCCATTCATACAACTTAGCCATTTTTTCCTCCGCCCGAGTTCCGCGTACCTCCTGCACCCAAAGTCGGAGGCGGAGGTCTCAATCAACCTTTCATACAAATTCCAGTCACATTTCATGTCGTTCCATTTCTTCAGTTCCGTCACCTGGGTCACAGGCACTCTCTCATTCACACTCATTTTTATCCTTATCACATCACATTACAGTTTAACTGCAGGATCTCCAAACATACACTATTTACATTCATGTTCAGATCATTTATTGTTTTTGTATCTATCGCGCAACACATTCAGACGCCACACATATTCTGGACACTCAGGCGACGTGACTCTGTGCCCCCTTGAAGGCAGCTCCTTCGCTCTGCAGTTAGAGCAGTCATCAGGGGCTTTTCAAGCCGTCTGTAACTGTTAACGCCTATTACCACATTTCCTACACACTCGCTCCGCTTTACATTCACTCACCTTGTGGTAAAAACCCATACAACCAAAACATCTAGGAACTCTTTCCCAAACTCCTACTTTAAATGATCTCAAGGGCAGCTCTACCACGATATTTCCAATCTCACATCCACTCTCACTCATTTAAAATACAATTTTACTGCGTTTTTCAAACTCATCAAAGCCAATCATACCATTCAAACTCTTATTAAACACACTGGTCATTAATTCACGTTCACTTATACTGTTCGGGACATCATAAATCACGATTCGAGGATCAATTGTTCTTGGTTTAGCAACAGAGAGCCCCGCCTCCTTAAAATTCAAGCAGGAAAACCAGGGCAAAATTCCTTCACTGGTCGTTTCTTAATTTTTCGCTTACATTCACACCAGACATTACACCCTCACACACTTTATTTACACCTTCAACACTTTTATTCATTTTCTCCGCAACATCGCATAACACATTCACACTTTCAGAGATTTTTAATACGCATTCATTCATTCTATCTCTTTCCTCTAGTCTTCCACGCAGCATGGCATTTTCCAGCGCTAATTTTTAAATAAAATTATCTAACTTACTAATTCCATTCAAGACATCATCTGGTTCATCCAAACAACCATTATTATTCGTCACAAGATCACGCATATCATTCACAACCTTACTAGCTTTTCTCATCATACACAATGTATCCACACTTACCTCTACGACCATGGCGTCCTCTCCCTCCTCCCGTGTGCCTAATTCTCCCTCCTTCAGCGCTTCTTTCCTGTCCATCCTCTTCTTTGTATCGCGCTTTGTCTCTCCCTTATCCACTTCTACCCTACTGTCCTCCTCTTTGAGGTACTTGTCGCGACTTCTCAGCGGGGAGTCAGAGGTACGGTGCCTCTCCCCACTTTTCTTTTCCTTCCTTCCTGTGGTATCTTTACCTCTCAGCGGGGAGCGAGAGGTATCGCGGCTCGACTGACAGGCGCCGTCCCCACCCGATGACGCAATATCGTCATCGCTTCCTTTCCCCTTGCGCTTTTTTGGTGACATCCCCACCCTTTCGCAAGGAACAACAAAAGACAAAATTGATACAAAACAAACACAAAACACTAAAAAAATAAGTATTCGCACATGCGCACTACGAAACACGTCCTCACAGTACGACTGCTCGAACAAGACTGAGTAGATAGGGACAGCGAGTGTTTGATTAATCTGTATATAGGATCTTATTTTTATACAGTATATGTTCCTCGGACCACCGTCCATATCCTCTCAAACTGGTCATCTACTTCGAAGAGAAACCACAGGATCTACGGGCCAAGAAAAACTCCACACCGTATATTGCTAAATTCACTCCACACATTACACTCATCAGATATACTTATTTCACATTCAATGTCCATTCTTTATTCATACTACAATATACACTGTGGTCATACGTCAAAACAACTCACTTAGCCGCACTCAGTATAGAATCACTGAGTAAGTTGCCCAGCGGGGACCACGTGGAGGTGGAGCCGCTGGAGAAGCCCTGTTGTATGTCCAATTGAGTCCTAATAGGATAAAAACACATGCATTTAGTACTACATGCATTAAAATTTTTAAGAATTAAATAAAATAGTCAGAAAAAGCCTTGTCAACATCACAGCCATTAGAATCGCACAGGTATTGCATATTCATGTTCGCAGTTTCGCAGAAACATACAAAACAGTTTCAAAAAATTTTATGTTAGCAAAAGCATTATCAAGATTGTATATAAGGTTCATATTAAAGTTTGCAGTTTCGCAGAAACTTACAAAACAATTAAAAGAAAAAATGATATCTGCAAAAGCATCGTTAGTGTATCACAGCCAATAATAACAGTTAATATTACGGTTTCGCTGAAACTCGTAATCAAATGCAAATAAGTCAAGTTTGCAGTTTCGCAGAAACTTAAAAACACCTAAGAGTGATTTCTGCAAAAACATCATCAGTTTATACAGCCAATAGTAAAAGTTAATATAACGGTTTTGCTGAAACTCGTAATCAAATTCAAATATAGCAGCAAAGCATTGTCAGGTAACTCCATAGCTTGATATGTGACCTGGACAGTGAAAAGGGACCTTACTTGCAAAAACAAGTTTTCGAGAAAACAGCAAACAGTTCTAATCCGAGTCGGTGAAGGATTGACGTATGCTGACGTTCTAGGTAAGCTTCGCAAAGAGGTCAACCCAGAGGACAGCCATACGAGAATAGTAGCAGCAAAAGCTACAAACAAGGGGGACCTTCTGATTAAGTTCAGAGGAGACTCCGATAAGGACGCTTTCACCGCTGAGGTCACCAAGGCGGTTGGAAGCATGGGTAAGGTGCAGTCATTGGATCGAAGAGTTACACTCGAGATCCGTGATTTGGATTGCCTTACCCAAGAAGCTGAGGTGCAACAAGTGTTGTCTGAAGCAATGGGTAAGCCAGTAAACAGGAGAGTGTTGGTCTTAGGACCCAACCGCCGAGGGATGAAGCTCGCGGTTGTAGTCACCAACCTGGAAGAGGCGAACAGGCTGGAGAAATTGGGACACGCAAAAATTGGTTTTATGTGTTGCCCAATCAAAAGAAGAGTAATGGTCGTCCGGTGTCATCGATGCCTGGGATACGGCAATATTGGAGCCAAATGCCAGAAGGAGGACAGATCGGCTGCGTGCTTTAAGTGCGTTGAGGCCGGTCACAGGTTCTCCAACTGTAAAAACAACTCAAATTGCTTTTTGTGCAAGGAGAAGATTGGCAATAAGGTGTCAACCACCCATATTGCAGGAAATGGAGGATGCGGAGTCTTCAGGACGGCCCTTGAGGAGGCGAAGAAGACTCTCGCAAGGACTAAAAGTAAATAAGGAATATTAAAAGGAGCGAATAATTTTTAATTATTTATTATATTTATTTAAATTATTTTTTTGTGGTTTTTTTTATACTGTCCTTTTAGTTTTTATTCTTCTGACTTTTATATATTTGTTTATTAGGGTTCCGTACACCTACGGTGTATCGGCGGAACCCTATTGGTGAGACTCTGTTGTCCGTAGCCAAATCGTGTTCCCCCCCCCTAGCGGCTAAACTATTTGACCTAAAGAGCTCAAATTTGGTACAGATATGTATTTTCACACGTAGATTACAGGAAAAATATAGCGAATGTGATTGGACGTGATGGGCATAGCGTTGTCAAGGAAATAACAAGATTTTTGGCCAAAAATGCATAAAAAGTGACCATTCCCCCCTTAACTTCTAAACTATTCGACATGGAGAGCTGAAATTTTGCATGCTGGTGTATTTTTACTCGAATATTACAGGAAAAATATAGAGAACTTGATATGTAATGATGGCCATAGCGTTGTCAAGGAAAAACTAAAAAATTTAAAAAGAAATTTTTTTTCCTAACTTTTACATTATTTGACCTAATGAGCTGAAAATTGGTATCCTAGTGTATTATTACAGTCTGACGACAAAAAATTTATTTAAGAAACTTTTTGAATAAAAATCAAAAAAAAAATTTTTTATTTTTTTTTAGTTTAAACACGTAGCATTAAATATTTTAAGGAAGAGAGTGAAATTTTAAGAGAATAAATAAGAGATTGTTTTCTGACTTTAATGTACTCGCACTGCAATGGCGGGTTCCGCACACAAATATTAAAACAATACTTGCAACATTGATCGGTAATTGGTAGAATTAAAATAAACAATTATAAGAATATATTAAAATCAACCGACAGATTGGCTCAGTCGGATAGATGCCTGGCGTTGGTGGTCGTTTAAGGACCAAGGGTATAAGTATCCTTGGTTCGCGCCCACTTGGCTTGGTATTTTTCCGGCACGTGAGACAATCTGAGCGGGAGGTTTGACGTCGAGGTATAATGATGTGCACCGTCGATTATTGTCCGGTACACACCATTAGAACTCGACTGTCGATAAACCGGTTGTACTCAGAGAGGTTTTCTACAGTTTCCCTCTTCTCTGGCGAGAAAACCCATTGACGGGTGGTCCAGGCGCAATGCGAGTACTCCTAATAAAGTCGGCTGTAGACGCAAAATTAGGTTAATATATAGAAAATTTCTAAAGTAGAATGGTTATGCTTAATCCAAAAAAGTATTTCTCGGGGACTCTTGTCGAAGTGCGTAAGGCCAATAGGGCAGGAGTATAAACAATAAAAAAAAAAAAAAAAAAAAATATATTAAAATCGGTAGGGGGTCAAAATGTCCAAAATTCCAAATATAAAAAAGTCCAAATAATGAAATCAATTAATTGTATAAAAATTCATATTCATTTTAAAGATTTAAGTACATGTAGTTTTGTTACATCCCAGTAACATCCTTATTTCTGCATAATTTTAATTTTTCCAAATTAAGTAAAAATTAATTAAGACATAAAACACAAATATTGTGTATTTTAATTCAAGACTAAATATATAATAATCTATAGATGTAATAACAACAATATCAGTAACTTAAGAGAAATCTGAACAATTCTTGTTGCTGTTAAAACATGAAATTTTGCAAGCCTCAAGAAGCGCGATAAGCAAGCAACGTAGGAATGTTATAGATGAAAGTAGGTGAAAAGCGATGCGCCATGCCAAGGACGAGCGACGCAAGCTCGGGCTTGTAGTATCGTTATCGCGAGATGTTACTCCTAGACAACAGCATGTAATTTGATCTTCACTTTCCATATATGGCATAATTATTAGGTCACTTATGAAGGAATGTGCGCTCCTTCTTCAAAACAACTTATAAATAGAATTAAGACGAACAGTCCTAAATTTCTAGTAGATAACATACTTTACCCCCATAACTAACTACGAATTTTCCCACTTTTTGTCATTTTTAGAGTATATAAGCCAAAGCTTTCTCCACTAAGCTTGTCAAATGTTCCGGTGCGGTTTTATAGACCAATAGTCATTGTAGAGCGACCCTTCAGTTAAATAAAATTTATTGTATTCTTTCTTTAATCGGCAATTCAGTCCGCGTTGTACTCGATTATCGTGCAAGTCTATTTTGTTATTCACTTAGAAACAAGTTTCTTTCCGTAAAAGGTGCAAGAAGAGCAAACTGACACTTAGAATCAATAATTTTAAATGTATTAACTGTCGTATTTTGCGTGTCAAGTTTCATTAATTGTAGCTTTTCACTAATTCTTTCTTTAATCGGCAATTCAGTCTGCGTTGTACTCGATTATTGTGCAAGTTGCTTTTCTCACACTTAGAAACAAGTTTCTTTCCGTAATAGGTGCAAGTGACGATAAGTAACACTTAGAAGCAGTACTAGCTCTTGAAACAAACGCAAAAACCCTAAAGTTGTGAAAGTTACATAAGTGTAACATAACAAACTTTCTTAGTTTCATTCAATTGAAATAACATCTTGAAACCAAACTTATACCGACCAGCGCTATAACCTGTATCCTACGACTAATCTGTAATAAAAGTAAGTAACATTTATGTAACTATTTGTAAACATTATTTGAATATTTAATAAACATTGTTAAAAGGGAATATTATTATTTGTTGTTAACGCAAAACCCGTAGTTTTGACAAGTACAAACGATCCTACTTAAAAATAAAGGTCAAGCTTTACCAACTTGACCATAATCAGCCTACCATTCCTCCAAAATTCTATAACCTAACCTATAAAATTGCCTTCTGCTCGGGATGTAACAGCTGATTTGGTGGCAGCGGTGGGATTCGTCACTTTTGTTAGACAATTATAATAATTCCCATTATAAAATATTATATTAAAATCTTACAGATTATTAAGAGTGTTAATTAATAGTTCAAATTATTCTTTCTCTAACCGGCAATTCAGTTCGCGTTGTACTCGGTTATTGTGCAAGTTGTCAGTTTTAACACTTAGAATTGTTAGTTTCTGCTAGCGAAACACTATTCTTTCCTTCTTAAGGTGCAAGTTAAACACTCACAACACTTAGAATATAGAAAAATTAAACTGACACTCTAACAACATTCCTCAGTTATAATTTAAAAACAATTTTATTAAAATCTTACAAAACCCTGTAATTTAAGCTGTTTTTGCGCCGTCCGGCGA